GTGTTTAGGAACAGGCTGCAGAGTGATATTTTATGGTGCTTTCGCTTAGAATAAATTTAGATTTCTGCAGGAGATTTGACTTGGTCTTTTGTGGTTTTGTGACCAGCTGTTAGGAAACGCCTATAATAAACTAAAAAGGGAATGAGGACAGAGAACACCAACAGAATGGTTGCCTTTGCCAACTAATGGAACTGTTTGGTGTTTTAGACAAAGAGATGAACAAGGAGATTTGAGTTCATTGGCTATGTTTGTCTTATCTGTTTTCTGGTAAGTTATCCTTCTATCCTTACTACTGCCTCCTTGTTGAAAAGAAGAGCAAAATTCAAGATTGCACTGGGTAGCCATATGCTAGACGTAATGGGAGTTATGGATGACTTCTTCCACAACATTAGTTGGATAAACAATCCTAACTTTCCAGAATACTTAACAAGCAGGGAGAGAAGAAAATCAGCTTTTATAGTATCAATAGAGTGTAAAAATCATAATGCTAGTTAAGAGTCTTCTTCTGGCACCTTTCTATGATCTAGCCCAGGAATAGGCAACCTTGGCTCTTTTATGACTTGTGGACCCCAACTCCCAGAATTCCTACTGGTTCAGGAATTCTGGGAATTGAGGTCCACGAGTCATAAAAGAGCCAAGGTTGCCTACCCCTGGGCTAGCCTTAGTGGAAGAAAAGCACGTTCAGCACATACAAAGAGAAAGGATTTTTTTTTTCCTCAGACCTTTATGTTCCAGTTTTTTTCTTCCTTTCATTCATCACTGCAGGTCTGGAAATTTGAAGATAGATATATCTGTTCCCTCTTCTTGTTCTGACAAGACTCAACAAAACCCTTATCCATTTGAAGGCAGAGAGGTTTCTTGGTTTATGCTTTGAGCATTTAGGAAAATGTTTCTGCTTGTTTTTTTGTGTGGGGACCCTCAGAGAGTAAAGCTATTTAGCTTGCATTAATGGTATATCCGGTATCTATTAAGAGTGGTACAGTTTTTCCCTGGACCGCATCCAGCGAGCAGATAGGAAGAAAGGGAGAAGCAAATAGGAAGGTTGAGGAGAGGGGGAGAGTGAGGAAGAGGAAGAAGAGGGAAGTAGGTTAGAGGGTGAATGCAGTTTGGGGGGAAATGGGTGAGCAATACCGAAAGTTGTGTGTATCAATCTGCTTTATTCTTTATCTGAAGTATTTTTATGAATGTAATGCATTGTAAAATTGAAAATAAAATTTTTTTACAAAAAAAAAAGAATGGTACAGTTTGGATCAGTTTGATCAGAAATAATTTTGAAGCTACACAGTTTTCTTGAATTTATGCAAAATAGCTGAGGCCTTTTCAAATGCAAAACCGGTTCTAATCTTTTTTTTAGCCACCCATTATTTACAGTTCATAATCAGGGTGAATTCTGTTTTTTAGGACTTGAGTTGATAGAGTGAAGAACATATTGTTTAAATATTCTCCTTTAACTTTGTCCTTTCATTTGGCAATTGTACTATAGGCCTTCTCTGTCTGTATAATAGTGCCGCCTCATGATTATTTAAAAACCATGCTTCTCTGGAGTCACACTGTCTGAATTTAATTATAGTCTCCTTGTCACATTAGAAGGGCAGTGACTTTAGATACAGTTAATGCAATTGGACAAAGATACCACAGCTTTTGCATTCATTTGAAATATAATTTGAATTTTTAAATTTCTTAAATTTTGATTCATTTGTAAGCCTAATTTTCCAGATTGGGAAAAAATTATATACTGTATATCTTAGGCTTCATCTCAGATTCCTTGCTTCTTGTTTGGGGAGCAATTTATCATGTGAATCCTGACTTATTAACTGAAATGGAGCAGCCCAGACATATGTTTTGCAATCCAGCTTTGTATTTCTATATCTCAAACTTAAAGCTGAGGTATGGAAACCTTTGTCTATTGGAGATTTTTCACTATTTTTAAATAAATCTAGAAGATCAATATGTATGAGTTGGTCCATTTCACAGATATAATCTGCAGTGTTTCCTGCTTCCGTGACTATACTTTTTGGCAATTGCAAGAATTTATATCCATCATGTCAGACTGTAAAAATAACATTTTTAACAAATGAACTAATGAATTATTCCAGTGATGGCAAACCTTTTAGAGACCGAGTGCCCAAACTGCAACCCAAACCCCACTTATTTATCACCGGGTGCCAGGTGGGCGTGGGCCACTGGGTGGGCGTGGCTGTGGTGGTCATGGCAGACTGTGTGGGTGTGGCCAAGGTGGGCATGGTCACCTCGATGTTGCTCATGGGGAGGAATGCCTGTGGGGGCCGGGCAGGGTTGGGGGAGATCCAGGGGGTCTCTGGCATGTGGGGCAGTGGGCAGGAGGCTGGTCCTGCGGGGTGAGGTGAGGCAGGGCTGCGGTGCCATTGTCGCAAGGCAAGGCGAGGCAGGGGCCGGGGCGGCTGCTGCCTGACACCATCAGCCCCCCGCATACAGAGGCCAGCGAGTGCATGGGGACCAACAATGTCTGTCAGCATCCACAGCCTGCCGGCCCCTCAACTAGCACACTCTGGGGCTCCGCAGCCCGCCACCAGAAGTTCAGAGAAGCCACCTCTGAGCTGGACAGATGGCCGACAGCTGAGGAAGTGATGCAGTGGGTTGTGCCCAGGAAAAGGAGAGCATGCGAGGCCAGGAGGAATGGGACGGGGAGCGAAACCAGCCGTGCTAGGATGCATCCGCCTACGTGGGACCTTGGTGAGTTAGCGGGCAGCTGGTTGAAGAGGGGCGGTTGCCATCTCCAGGGCATGGTGCCTGTGCCCACAGAGAGGGCTCTGAGTGCCGCCTCTGGCACGCGTGCCATAGATTTGCCACCACTGAACTATTCTGATGGTACTTTTTGCTGGCTTTTAACGCAGGAACTAGTTAGATGCTATGAACAGGAGATTTTTTTGTTTATTTGTAGTATCTGACAAAAGACCTATTTTGACTAGGCATCATAAGCTTCAAGGATTTACAGTCTTGTATTAAACTGGTTATTTACGCCATGCTTTACTAGGATTACTAGTCTGCCTCTATGGATGTTCAAAAGATATTATAGAAGTAACAATAGAAGAGAGTACCTTGAAAAATCTACAGGATAAAGAGCCGAAACAAACTCATGTCATGCAAGAATATTAGAAAATAATATAATATAAAGGAATTGTTGAAACACTGGCAAACTTTTAAAAATGTGGCTTATAAAGCAGAGACAATAGTTAATAGTAGAAATATAAATGACAAACCAAGGAAGTGGACAAAGTGCAAGACTTGGAGAATGGATTTAGAAAAGAGGTATGCCAAAGTCTTGAAGAAGCCTTTGAGATGGGAAGAAAAAACAATAAATAAAATCCTATAACATGTTCTGAATGAAGATGAAGATTACTAGAAGGACAAGGAAGGGACACAAAACTGATTACCTAAGATTCAAACAAGACTGTTTCTATAAAATTTTGGAAAGCTTTACGGGGATTTGCTGACACTAGGACTGAAATGTTAATGATTTAGGGATTTGTGTCTAGATAAGGGATGGGTTATGAGAAAAAGAGATACTTGTACATAACATTTCAGGGAGTAAAGTACTGAGTTTATATTTTTTGTGATTAAAGTCAGAAGTTGCATCTTTACATATTTTCTTTCTTTTCCCCTCTCTCCCTTTTTTTCTTTTTTCTTGCACCTTCCTGTCATCTTTATTTTTCTTTTGCTTTTTGAATTTAGTTTGTATTTTTTATTATTGATTTTTAATCAATAAAAGTTTATGTACAGAGGGAATGAATGAAACTAGTTGTATAACACTTCCCATGGCTCTGTAGTGAATATAACCAGAAACAAATTACTGACTTTTGAGCTTAGTTCTCTGAAATCAGTTATTATGGTAGGCTGTTCTGTTCTGTTTTTGTAAAATTATGTAGGCTGCCTATGACTTTTTTTCTGCTAGTTTGTTTGTGAGGAAGAAAAGAAAGGAGAGAAAGACCCAAAATGTTAGTAAAGGAACGCTCCTCTTTGGAAGAAGTCACACTTTGCACGTAGAAATTCTTAAATTCAGTATCTTATCACCTGAAATTGAAAAGGATCAGAAGCAGATAATGAGAAAGATCTCTGTGCCTGGGGCTCCAGAAAAATGCTATCTAGTCAACATTGAGAACAGCTGAATGAGATCCAGTTTAACAGTCTGACTTGATTGCAGGATTTTAGAGTTGTGAATTTCATTTTATTCCTTTCTCATAGGGAAAAGCAGCACACTTTCATCTTTGCAGAGGCAGGGTACTACATTTCCACGTTCTTCCCCATTTTTTTCAGAAGAAATTATAGTTCCACATTGTGAAATGCTTGACAAAGCTACATTTCTATTGCTTACAATTGCATACATCTACCCTTGTATGATTCAGTGTCATGGCCACCATCTTGAACATTGGGCCAAAAAGTAGCCCATGAGCCATCATATCTGGTCACTAGTAACTGTGGGTTCTAATTGTGTCTTCTGTGTGGTGTAATTCTTGCCGCATTCTCTTAGTACTGGAGGGAAGCATATTCCTGGCAGAGGCCCAGCTGGCTTATGCTTTGGTGTTTCTCCTCCATGTGCCCTTCCTTTAGGAACATGAAATCATTCTTTGGGCTCCACTTGTCATAGCTTCAAAGCCCATGCCTTTTATAGTGTGGCTTCTTGCCTGAAGCCATAACTTTACAGCCAACATTAATTTATTGTGCCTTTTTTCAATTACATACTGCATTTTTGTTACTTCATTACATACTATTTTTCAAGCAACTGCCTTCAAACGTATCTAAGACTATTAAACAGAAAATGTATGATGTGCACAACTGAGGCAGACCTCACTAAATCTTTGATTGTATCCAAGTAACTATATGCATTTTAAAAGCTTAATTCATATTTGACTTTTAATAGTGAAGAATATTACAGCATCTTGGGTTTTTGAAAGCAGGATTGTATGTAGCTAAATACAAATGTAGCATGTGTAATTTGTATTAATCTTGTTTATAATTCTTAGACCTTTTTGAAAGAAGGAGAATCTACTGCAGCACGATGTGATGACTTGGATGCTTTAAAAAGTAAAGGCTGCCCCCCAGAAGAAATTGAAAACCCCAGAGGCACACATATATTGCTAAAAAACAAAGAAGTCACAAATCGCATCAAAGGGACGGCTGAAAGTCTTAGACCAGAAGATATTACCCAGATTCAACCACAGCAAGTGCTGTTGAAGCTGCGGAAAGGTAAACATTGTTTTCACAGTGGGGAGATCAGGACAGATCCATGTACATAATGAACCTAGGTTAGTGCTTGTCAGTATTTCAACTTGTGGTTATTTAAAGGAATTCTTTACTGTGAAAACTTACGGTTTTTTTGCTGTTTCACAGCTTTATTCCCTTAATTTTAAAGTGGTAGTCAAACAGTATCTCATATGTCTTCAAATACTCGTTTATTTATTATTTTTGTTTATACTTATCGCTTCTCGATGTTTTGACTAGGATCAAATGTATTGAAGAAATAACGTATCGTATAATTTTTAGAGCATTTGCTTTTCCTGATTAATTTTGAAATAAATGCAAAAATTGAAATTTGAGACTGAAAAAGTCAATATTTAATTGAGTTTTCTCCCCCCTAGGCTTAGGATTGTTTAAAGAAAAATGTGTATATGCTTCTAGTTAATAGATAAAATATATGGGATGGGAACGCCCAAAGAATAGATGAAGTGGAGGTGATGTAATAAAACCAGAAATATAAATTATCTGCTTTCCACTACTAGCACTATAGCAAAATTAATAATGATCCGGCTTGTAAAGCCAAAAAGGTTTTGCTAATAGTGGATTACAGCTGTTTTCCAGAACTTGCATTTTTTGGCACCTTCTTACAGGTCAATTCAGAATGTAATTTATGATCTGTAAAGCATAGTTTTTTTAGGCTGCTATGCTTCTCCATCATGGGTCAATCAAAATTTATAAATCAGTAAGAATTCTTTATATCATTTCCATAAATTTATTTATGTTTTTATTAAATTCTTTTTTTTTTTTACCCAAATCATAGAACGATCTCCCATGTATTTGACCACCCTACTTCATTAGGTTGGTTTTTTAAAACCTGATTTTAAAATCTATTTAAAATTTTTAAAAAATCATTTTAATGATTTATATATTTTATTAATGTTAACTGAACCTCACCCTTTGTTTTAATGTTTTGTTTTATTTATTGTTTGATAGCTACCTTTAATAGCCTTTTGAAGATAGACAAGGGAGAGAAAAAGCCAAAAATGATTTTTAAAAGCATATATTTTAGATAGAGTCCTCTGTACAGGTGGTCCTTGACTTGCAACCACCATGGAGACCAGAGCTTCCTTCACTAAATGATGTGGTCAGTAAGTAAGTCGCACCCAGTTTTACAACCTTTTTCGCCCTGGTTGCTAAGCGAATTAAACAATCATTAAGTGAATCTGACTTCCTCCACTGGTTTTGTCGGAAGCCTCTTGGGAAAGTTGCAAATGTCAATCATGTGATCTCAGGATGCTGAAACCATGATAGAAATAGGCTGGTTACCGAGTACCACATTTTGATCACACGACCGCAAGAATGCTGCAATAATTGTAAGTGCAAGGACTGATTATAAGTCACTTTTTTCAGTGCCGTCATAACTTTGAAGGCTTGTTAAATGAACAGTCAGAAATCAAGAACTACCTGTAGAATTTTTGTACTAAAGCCAATCCTAAGGAAGAAACGGTTCAATAGATATTACTTGTTTATAATAAATTATATGTGCATTGTGATATGTACATATGTCACACATTAATTATTGAATGTTGATATCACTTTTATTGATACCTCTTAATGTTGCTTTTCTTGCAAAACGTATTCTCAGTAATGTGTTGCATGCCTAAGTTAGATTTATATACTTGCAATTTTTAATATGAGGATATGGTAATCCAAATTATGATCTCCAGTTTCATAATAAGTAGTTTTTATCTATGACTTCATATCTGAATGACTTTGTGAAATAAACAGCATTCAAACTGACTCAATAGCGTAATACTTATGCAAAAACTATAACAACTAGATAATATTTTTCCTTCAAGCTTTTTTGTTAGATGTCTTTCATGATAAAGATACTTGTATTCTTATTCTAAGCCATTTGGAATTTAGCTTAACTTTGCTTTCTTGTGATTAGGGGAACCACAAACATTTTCATTAAAATTCAAGAGAGCTGAAGATTATCCAATTGACCTTTATTACCTCATGGATCTGTCTTACTCTATGAAAGATGATTTGGAAAATGTCAAAAGTCTTGGAACCTCTCTGATGAGTAAAATGAAAAATATAACTTCAGATTTTCGAATTGGTATGGAATCTGCTTATGCATAAATTATGATGTTCTTTTTTCAATTTGATATAACATATAATATAAATAGTTTGCAAATACAAAAATGATTTATGAAGCCTTTTTAGAGAACTATGATATTTTGCATCAGAAAGAAATTGCATACAACTTATGACATAAATATTCCTTGAATGTCAAGCTAGCAATAAATTTTGGTATTACAAAAGTAAGCATCTGGAGGTTGCTTTCATTGCTGAATCCCTAAACTGCTGAAAAATAGACCCAAATTACAGCACAGTATATTTTAGTGATTCTATTCTAATTACTGAGCATGCAAATAGATTCCCTATAAATGTGGAATTTGGTTTTGACAATTGAACAAAACTCTGAAAAATTCCTACAAAGGAAAGCAGAATTAAGGTTTATTTAATGTAGTAATGTTGATTTCCTTAACCATAGACTTTATTCATTCCTAGTATGATAAAGTTGGTATGGTATTCCTTATAGCTAATCATTTCTACTTTTTAAGATAAACCACATAGACCAAAAACTTGCCCAATATTAATTCTTGTGGTCTTTTGGAGAGCAATGTTTCTGCTAGGATTGCCAGCAACAAAAGCTTTGCAAGGCACGAACTGTCTATTTGCCTACTTTTATGTAGAACTTTTTTTAAATAAGTTTTTTATTTGTAATACAATTAAAACAAAAATGGACACGTGTGACATTCCAGAGTAAGTCCTAACAGTTTGTTTCTCTTGGTACAAAAACATGATACATCATTCTTAACCTCTATATAAGCCTCATCCTTCTATGTAATACAATTAAGTATACAATTATATGTACAGTTATATATATATTTCAATCCTATCAACTTGAGATCCGAGCAGTTCTTCTTAATTCATACCAACGGTAAAATTTGTCCCAGATTTCGAAATATTCGAGTTCTGTCTTGTCCTTCATAATCATTGTAAGCCTGTCCATCTCAGCACATGAAAGGATTTTATAGAGGATCTCTTGTTCCGTTGGAATTCCTTTATTCCTCCAATTTTGAGCAAAACCCAGTCTGGAAGCTGTTAGAATGTGTAACATTAAATAAAGTATGGCTTTGTTGTATTTTTGCGTGGTTATACCTAATAGGAAAAGTTCTGGTTTTGACTCTTTATGTAGAACTTTTTTGATTATATTGAAAACAGCAAAATTAGATCCTTAGATGTTATTTCTTTTCTTTTTTTCTTTTAGGCTTTGGTTCTTTTGTTGAAAAAACAGTAATGCCTTATATAAGTACCACACCTGCGAAACTCAGGAATCCTTGCACAGGTGATCTTAACTGTACAAGTCCCTTTAGCTACAGGAACGTGCTCAACTTCACCAGCAATGGGAGCTGGTTCAATACACTTGTAGGGGAACAGCAAATCTCAGGCAATTTGGATTCTCCAGAAGGAGGATTTGATGCAATAATGCAGGTTGCTGTATGTGGTGTAAGTATTATTGACTTTTCCTCTCATATTTTTATTATTATTTTGTTAACTGATTTATATAAAAATGGTTGTCAATTGGGTTAAATGAATCAGAATTTAAAAGTGACTTTTGGGATACCATTATTGAGGAAAAATAATTCTATATTATGTTTATCTATAACCTATAATACAGTTTATGTTCTTCATTTATACCTTATGGATATGGTATAATACATAATTTAAAAGAATAGAAAAATGATAGAAAATCCTTTGGTTTTTTTTGTATTTATTTATTTATTAAATTATATGCCTCCTATCTCACTATCAATTGATTTTGGGTTGCCTACAGCACCATAAAAATAAAAATATATAAAGATTAAAGATAAAGGTTCCCCCTGCCTGGTCATGTCCAACTCTAGGGGCTGATGTTCATCTCTGTTTTTAGCCAAATGAGTCAGTGCTGTCCAAAGATATTTCCGTGGTCATGTGGCTGGCATGACTGTACACCCAATGTGCACAGAACACTGCTACCTTCCCACTGAAGTGTACCTATTTATCTAGTGGCATTTGCATGCTTTCAAACTGCTAGGTGGGCAGGAACTGGAGCAAGTAATGAGCTTGCCCCTTCGCACAACGCTTGGGTCGTGAACTCAGGCTGACAAACTCAGTGTCTTTAATCACTGGGCCTTTGCCCCCCAAAAAAGATTAAAACATAAGAGCCGTGTTAGCGCAGTGGTTAGAATATAATATTGCAGGCTAATTCTGCTGACTGCCAGCAGTTTGATGCTCATTTGCTCACGATTGAGTCAGCCTTCCATCCTTCCGAGGTCAGTAAAATGTGGACCCAGGTTGTTGGGGGCAATAGGTTGGCTCTGTAAAACGCTTAGGGAGGGCTGTAAGTATTATGAAATGGTATATAACTTTAAGTGTTATAAATATTGCTATTAAAAACATACAAGCATAACAGGAAATAATATAAAACAGTAGAAAATAATATATTAAGTCCAATTGACCTAAAGTAATGTTAATATAGATATACTAAAAAGAGAAAGAAAAATTTTGCATGCAGATAGGAAGCTGCTTATATGCATAACATGAGGCATATAAGTAAGTAGCATATATTTTATATAATAGTCCCCATGTGTGGACACAGTCCCTGCATTCCTCTGCACATTTATCCCAATGATCACAAGCTCTCTTTCTTAAGAATGGCTATAATTCTTTTTTTTTTCTTAAGAATGGTTATAATTCTTTTTTTTTATACATATCACTCAGTATAAAACTTGAAAGTATTCACTTGGTTCCTGTAAAAGGAAAAATGCTGTCTCCTTCAGAAGACTTACTGCATTTAAAATAAAAAAATATTTTACAACAATAACTTATTGCCAGTGGAGTTCATTTTCATGAAATTCCCACATTATTCCGTGAGCTATTTATATAAACTAATAAATTATCTTCTTACCGTTTAAGGCTACTTAGTTTAGTTGATTCAAACTAGTCAAACAAATAATCCTGATGGGCTTCTGAGTAAATATACAGAGATTAAAGTTTTTTTCCTATCCAGCATAAGTAATAATGAACACAGCTTATTTGTTTTCATTTATTTAGACATGTATTCTTGGTAAGTCAAAAAAAAAAAAAGCTAGTGGTCAATTTTTACTCAGAATCCACTCTGGGTTGGTTACTGGGACCAGAGGGTTAGTCTTCCGAGCTTTTGGACATGTGTTGGGCCCATCCTCAGGGTACATTCCATTAGAGAGAAGTCTGAACTTCTGGTCCCAATGACCAACCCAGATTAGATCTTGCAATATTATCCTGGAACACATATATTTGCTTTTATTCAAGTGACTTGTGCATCTGGTGCAGGTCTTATTTCCATAAAAATTGGCAACTGATTTTTCAAGTTCACAACTTATTATTTCATGATATTTACAGCATATTACAAAACTGTAAAGTTTGAATGTAATTTTGGATGACATGTAGCATAAGAATCTCTGCTATTTTATTTTGAGCCATTTTATTTTGTTGGGTTTGGTTCAGTCATGTGAAATGTGGAATGTATAAATTACATTTTTGCTCAGAAAGTCCAATTTTAGTATTCATTTGTCTTATCTCATGCCCTCTTTGACTCCTGTTGGTCACAACTGCCTCAGAGGGGCATCATATACAATTAAAAAATTCAGAATACTTGCACAGTTGTTTCTTCTTAAAATAAAATGCTGTCTTGTCTGCTGATTAGATCAGTAACTTTCCTTTTGTTCTGCAATACATGAATATAGGGATCATTTCTTTTCTCTGTTTTATTGGCTGCTGAACTTTTAATTTTATATGATCTTTCAAATTCCTTTTTCTTTCTCAGTCAAGAATTGGATGGAGAAGAAATGTCACTCGCCTATTGGTTTTTTCCACGGATGCTGGGTTCCATTTTGCTGGAGACGGGAAGCTTGGAGGAATTGTTTTACCAAATGATGGACAATGTCATTTAGAAAATAATATGTACACAATGAGCCATTACTATGTAAGTATATTAGGTAGAATATTTAAGTATATTTATTGTGTGCGCATGTGCGTGTAATGAAATAAATATGAAATGTATAATAAAAATTCAGTTCCTTATTCTAAAATATAATTTTGCTATATAACAGTTTGAAAGGAAAAAAACATACAATATTTTTAAAATAAGATTAAAAGACCTTTAAGGATTATAAAAAGAATATTTGCTTGTATGCATGGAATCACGTGTTAATAAAATGTTTTTAATAACCCATAGAAATTTTCTTCTGTTTTATATTTCTTCTTATATTTTTCAACTTCACTCTGTATTGTAGAGTCCTTGGTGCTCTCTGAGTTTGGTTATTTACTTACAGACATTTCACTACTCCAAAGTCTACTAGAGCACAACCAGTACAAGCTATGAAAAGGTTAATACTATCATATATCAAAAACATCTCAGAAACATCCAACAGACTATTACAAATACACAACATACATTGTAACAGCCAGAATGTAGGACAGATAGAGGATTAGCAGAACACATGGGCAGATTCAACCAAAAGTTCTTTTAAAATGCTAGAATGGATGGGATAATAATTGCATTTCTTATTTAAAAAGTTATTATCTGCCTTGTTTTTATATAATATTGTATACAGAATGTGTTATATATATTGCACTCAAATATATATTCAATATATTGTCTCATGGATCTTAACTTCGTTCTTCAGGATTATCCCTCTATTGCTCATCTTGTTCAGAAGCTAAGTGACAATAATATTCAGATAATATTTGCTGTCACAGAGGAATTTCAGCCAGTGTACAAGGTAATGATCAAATAACGTACATTTCTATAGCTTAAAAAAACCTCCTTGTTTAAACGCCTAATAAAAACTCTAGGTAATATAAAGCCCTAGGCAGGAAAGTGAAGGAGTTGGGGGAAATAGGTGGCACCATGCTCAATAGTAGTAACTGTGAGGGGGACCTCGGAGTCCTATAGACAATCACCTAAATATGAGCCAGCAGTGTGCTGCAGCTGCCAAAAAGGCCAACACAGTGCTAGGCTGCATTAACAGAGGGATAGAATCAAGATCACGTGAAGTATTAATACCACTCTACAATGCCTTGGTAAGGCCACACTTGGAATACTGCATCCAGTTTTGGTCACCACGATGTAAAAAAGATGTTGAGACTCTAGAAAGAGTACAGAGAAGAGCAACAAAGATGATTAGGGGACTGGAGGCTAAAACATATAAGGAACGGTTGCGAGAATTGGGTATGTCTAGTTTAACGAAGAGAAGGACAAGGGGGGACATGATAGCAGTATTCCAATATCTCAGGGGCTGCCATAAAGAAGAGGGAATTAAGCTATTTTCCAAAGCACCTGAAGGCAGGACAAGAAGCAACGGGTGGAAACTAATCAAGGAGAGAAGCAACCTAGAACTAAGGAGAAACTTCCTGACAGTGAGAACAATTAATCAGTGGAACAGCCTGCCTCCAGAAGCAGTAAATGCTCCAACACTGGAAGTTTTTAAGAAGAGACTGGACAGCCATTTGTCCGAAATGGTGTAGGGTTTCCTGCCTGAGCAAGGGGTTGGACTAGATGACCTCCAAGGTCCCTTCCAACTTTACTACTATTATTATTATTATTATAAATAGGAAATAGAAATAGTGTTTCCATCCATCTTTCCTAAAATATGATCTGTTGGAGGGTTCTCAGAATGTGACAGAAACCTTTCCAGTTCTTCCCAGAGTTCCTATGAGTAATTTAATGCTAGGCCTCTGTCATTCTTCTCTTGCTGATGACAATACTTCTTATGAGAAACAAGATTTTACTCTGTATTTCTATGTGGAGATATAAACAGCTGGCAGAAAGACATGGCTGAATGCAAGTTGTGGCCCTCCATGTTGATGGAAGGAAAAGAAGGAGATGTAGTATCTTGAAAGTCACAACTCAAGACGATTGTCAAGAAAAATTTGGATTCCTAGGCAATGGTTTATATCATTTGTTTATAACAGTTGAGGAACTTTTAAGCAAGGATGAACTGCACTTCTTAGGGGACGGAAAATGTCTTTGCAAAAAGTCATACAATGCTTGATCAGTTACTTTATACCAGCGTTTCTCAACGTTTGTGTGACGGCGACCCCCGTCACACAAACGTGCCGTGCATGCGTGGCGCCGCCCCCTGAGGGGGGAAAATGGCGGATCGCATTGTTTGGCGACCCCCGTAAAATGGTCGATCGACCCCAAATGGGGTCGTGACCCATAGGTTGAGAACCGCTGCTTTATACCTAAGTTTAATAAGACTTTAAATTGGAAATGGAAGGGAGAATAAGGCACAAATTTTAGTAGGATAATGCTGATTATTACCATTGGGTAATAGTGATAATAGAGGACACAGAAGATAGGAAAGGGGATTTGGAAAACTTCTATCACATAGTAGGGAGACCAGTAAATGATGGTATCCCTAGCATCAAGTATGTGTGTATGTTGGTTAAAATGATAATGTGTGTGAATTAACAAAAATTCATTCCTTGTATGTAAAGGAGTTGAAGAATTTGATTCCTAAATCTGCAGTGGGAATGCTGTCTTCAAACTCGAGTAATGTGATTCAGCTGATCATTGATGCTTACAATGTAAGTCCATCCAAATGAATAATTCTTATTATAATCTCTTTGAGTTTCTAAAACATTGATTGACTGTATTGTAACATTAGTTAAAAGATTACGAAGGCCAAGATTTGTAGGTAATAGTTGCTTTGTAATAGTTTCTTTGAAATTTGGTGTGGTTAAGGCACCAGAGTTTGAATTCCATTTTAGGCACACAGCCAGTCGGGTGAAGCAGCCACTCATTCTCTCAGCCCAAGGAGAAATGAAGGCAAGATCAAAGCGCTTCTGAAAACATTGCCAAGAAAAGGCAGTTGCCAGAAGTCAGCACTGATTTGAAGACATGGATGGGTGTGTGCGCGTGCGTGAGCACACGCACACACAATATTTCCTTGAAAGGACTTTGTTAAAATATCTTTTGCAGAGTTGCACATTCTTTTAGATTCTGTTCATCTAAATGTTCAAATTTTATTTTAGTCATTGTCTTCAGAAGTTATTTTGGAAAACAATAAAGTACCTAAGGAGATAGCAATAGAATATAAATCTTTCTGTAAGAACGGAGTGAATGGAACAGGAGATGAAGGAAGAAAGTGCTCTAACATTTCAATTGGAGATGAGGTAAGCTTTGGTGTGCAAAGTCATGCAGACTTCTTATGTGCCCATTGTCACATTATAGCATTGCCCTAAATAATGCTATATGTTTCTTTTGATCAGTTTGAACAAATTGCCTGTTTATTATTTACATTACAGGTTAGATTTGAGATTACAATAACAGCTAATCAATGTCCAGAAAAAGGACAAAATGAAACAATTAAAATCAAACCGCTTGGTTTTACTGAAGAAATAGAGATTAATCTGGAATTCATTTGTGAATGTGATTGCCATAATGAAGGAATTGAGGACAGCCCTCTATGCCATTTTGGAAATGGAACATTTGAGTGTGGAGCTTGCAGGTATATGAATGCTACTTTTCTACTTTGTGTTTTTGGTGGTGGGGGGGGGGGAATCCGTAACTTAATTTTTTATGTAGAAGCATATCTCCAAATTCAGAAAAAGTTAGCTGAGATGTTTAGGAAACTAGTAGAGTTCCTTATGAGTTAAAGGAATAATTGTGTGCCTAAAAGCCTACAATGATGGAGAGAAATGCAAGCCATAATATATACATACACACACACTCACACATAGATAGGCAGAAATTTTCTCATTTTATCTCGCTTTGAGATCATTTTGTGAAACTGAATGTAAGAGACAAGACTAATTAAAAATGAACATTTTTTTAGACAATGCATGATTTTTATCTATATATAAAATATATAGTATATAGTATATATTTATGTATATATTTATGATGACCTGCCATCTGTCAGCACAGATCTTAATGGCAGCATGATCCTTCTTGAATTCCAGCACCTGCTGGAGAACCACATTGAAAGAGGAGATCCTACTTCTCCCTCAGAAGCCGCCCAGTTGCATTTGTTGGTCACAATGAGGCACATAATGCTGAGCTAAATTTGGTCCATTTTCCTTTTTTAGGTGCAAACCTGGGCGTATTGGAAATCACTGTGAATGCAGCATGGAGGAAGTTAATAGTGAAGACATGTCAGGCACCTGTAGGCAGGCTAACAGTTCTGAAATATGTAGCAACAATGGTGAATGTATTTGTGGGCAGTGTGTGTGCAGTAAGCGAGAGAATCCAAATGAAATCTATTCTGGCCCATATTGCCAGTGTGATAACTTCAAATGTGATCGATCAGATGGTTTAATTTGTGGAGGTAATGAATTCCTTTTCTGTCAAAGGAGCTTTAAAACATAAGCTTGAAACTACTATGAGAAAGTAGAATTAAGTGAATAAGAGAAACAGGTCAGATTAGGAATAACTTCTCTGATGCAGTTCCATTTCTTTGAGTGATTGAAAAGATTCAGGCAACTGAACTGGCAATTAAAATAAAGGTTTTATATTTAACAATGGTACATAAAAGACAATTTAAAGATAATGTTGTCCTTTATAATAAGCCCAGTAATAAATGTGTTTCTTAAGGAAAAAAATCTTTGCATCCTGCCCTATATACATCCTATTGATGATAATTTTCTATACAGTACAATATGCACCTATATTGTTATGTTTTGTTGTATGTACAATATGGAGTGACATAATTTGGCAGAAAAACCTGAGCACCATTAACATACACATTTTAAATAATGTCAAAATAGCCAGTTGTTGCATGCTTTTATCATCACTTTTCTTGTTTTGGAATTTCTTTAATTAGTAAAGAGAATGTCTTCCCTAAAAATAATCAGGCCTAATAGTGTTCTTCCTGCAAGCTTTCATAAGACGTCAGAACTGGATTTTAGATCTGTGCAACTGCAATAAAGCATTTTATTCATGAGAAACTCTTCTGAATTCACCCTCAAAAATAGCACTACATGAAAACTCTGTGCAATAGCCTTAAAACTTAAGATCTTTTGTCATCTGCAATCATAACCTGGATAATTTCAGGAGCACATCAAAATAGTCACATGAAGTCTTTGTGACTTTTAAGTAGCTCCTGAGGATCTTGTCAAATCCATTCCATTGGCAGAAAATGGGGGAAAGTATGCATTTTTGTATTTAAATTTGACTAAAATATTTTTTTTTCTGTTTTTAAATTTAGGACACGGTGAATGTAAATGTCGTGAATGTGAATGCTGGGCAAATTACACTGGCTCTGCTTGTGAGTGTCCCCTAGATACGACTCCTTGTGAAGCTGCAAATGGACAAATCTGCAATGGTAGAGGAATATGTGAATGTGGAATATGCAACTGTACCGATTCCAAATTTCAGGGACCAACATGTGAGCTATGTCAGACTTGTCTTGGTGTCTGTGCAGAGCACAAGTAAGATTTTTGATTTTGTAATGAAAATAACTGGTTCTTATGAGATTGCAAACTGCTGCAGCAGGTCTTTTTTCAGTGCCATTCTAGAATTCAGATAGTCAGAAACTAAATCTATAACAGAAAAAAAGTCCTCTTGTTAAGTGGGTGATATAGAGGCATTTTCTTGCAGAAGTTAGCTATTGAAGCAGGTGGGATAAAGGAGAAGAGCCTTTTTTGCTGTGGCCCATTCCTGTGGAACATTCTTCCACCAGAGGTGGGAATTGCCCCCTTCCTTTAGGCCAGTGGTTCTCAACCTGTGGGTCGGGACCCCATTTGGGGTCGAACGACCATTTCACGGGAGTCGCCAAACAAGGCTGTCCGCCATTTTTTCCCCCTTTTCTTTGGCCACGCCCCTAGCACCCGGTGATGTATAAGTGGTTGGGGGTCACCACAACATGGGGACCTGTATTATGGGGTCGCGGCATTAGAAAGGTTGAGAACCACTGCTTTAGGCCTTCTGGAAGGATATCAAAACCTGGTTTTGCTGATTGGCCTGGCATCCTGAGATGGTACTTGCCACTGGAGGTGGCTGATAGGGTAAGAAGATCTCATCCCCTCCAATCTGTCTCTTGGCTCTTATATATGTGGCTTTAGTGCAGTTTTTAACAATTATTTTGATGTTGATTTAATATTTTAGCTATTTTTCTATGCTTTGTAAGCCGCCCAGAGTCATCTTGTAAGGAAGATAGGCAGCATAGAAATTTAATAAATAAAATAAATAAACTATCATCCTGGTTATGGCCAGGACAGGGGTGAGCGTTTTTGACTTCAAATAGCATTAGAGTGCCATCTTGGTGGAAAAAATATTTGCTGAAGTAATATATCACCAGGTATAATGTATTATGGGACACTATATGAATGTCTTAAATCCAAAGCCTTTTGTTTTTCCAAAAAGGAAATGCGATCAGAAGTGCTATAGCAGACATTTCCTTCAGTAAAGAGAAAATTCAAAAATATGATTCTTGGGGAAAATGTCTCTCCCCCCTCCCCCCCCAGATCTTGAACTGCATAAGTTGGTAGATTTGGGGAAGATCACCCCCCATACTTCTCTTTCCATCTTCTCCCTCTGAACAGAGGGGCCTTTCAAATGTTGCTTTAATGAGTGGCTTTAATACAAGCTAAACATCTACTTTGGTAATGGCTACTGAGTATAGGTTTGTATGGTAAAAGTGACACCATTCAGAATCTTCTTTAAGAGATAATGCACTCAAGGCCAGAAGAAAAAATGCACTATGTTTAAGTAATCTGAGATTTAAGCTTTTATTTACGTTTATAATTGCCGTTTTGCCAAGCCTTCCTAATAAAATGGATGGTATTATACTAATTTGTGCTTCATCTTTGCAAACAGAGATTGTGTCCAATGCAAAGCCTTTAACAAAGGAGAAAAGAAAGAACGGTGTGAAAAAGAATGTTCACACTTTAGTTTGGAGCTGGTAGATCGTAGAGAAAAGTTGCCACAGCCTGGACAGTATGATGCATTGACTCATTGCAAGGAGAAGGATATTGATGACTGTTGGTTTTACTTTACATACTCTGTTGACTCAAATAACAAGGCCATTGTTCATGTGGTGAAGACGCCAGGTATGCTTTGGTGCTCATAGAGACAGTTTTGACTTTAAGGTTAAACCTAATCCCATTTACCTATCCCTATTCTTAATTTAATTTCTTGTGCTTCATAACATCCAGAATTTTATATATGTGTGTTGTTATCCTCCTCCCTAAAAATAATGTATTTAAAATACAACTCTTAGTAGATAATATTTATTTTAAAAAAACAAGAGAATGTTTTTTAATACCCACAAAATGCATCCAAAGGACTATTGGAACTATTAGTGATAGTTTGTGGCTATTGCTTCTAAATCAGCAGTAAATCCATGGAGGTATTTTTAAATTGGAAACAGACCAAAGGATTGGTGAACTTGATCAGTGGTCAAACTCCCACCTTGTTCTTTGCACATTCCTCAGCAAATCAGAGGACTCAGCCAGTCATGCCCTGGTCACATCACAGCTTGATTACTGCAATATGTTGTATGTAGGGCTGCTCTTGGGAACCACTTGGAAGCTTCAGCAAGTCCAGAATGCAGCAGTAATAGGCATGCCTCTTATGCCTATGTAATACCATTATTCCACAACCTGCAGTCTTCTTCAGGTTTTGATTCAGAGGGTTAATTGTTACCTATAAAGCTTACATGGCATAGATTCTGGATACTTGAGGGGCCACCTGTCTCCCATTGTATTTCTCTGACCAATTAATTTGGTAAGGTTGCTGCACTTTGGGTTCCATTCATTGAACAATGCCAACAAGGTGGCCTTAGAAGCACCCCTGCCTGTAGCAGTTCATGCCCTCTAAAATGAGGTTGTCCCTGAGATTCATAAGGCTGCCATCCTGTTGGAGTTTTCAAAGGCCTGGGCTCTTCACCAAGGTCTTCAGAGAGGATAATTGTTGTCCTTTTTTTTCTTTCTATTCTCTAACATTCCCTTCTCCTATTTTTTTTTTTTTTTTTTTTTTTTGCCTTGTGTTGGTTTTGTGTGCTTTTCTGTTTTTGTTTTAAAATGTTGTAAGCCACTTAGAAATGCTGGGATTTGGGTGGCATATAAATTTAATTAATAGTATCTATTCCAGGTCCTTGGAAAGAACAGATAGATAAAAATGCTAAATCCAGTCTAAACATCTGGCTGATTGTGCAATCATCATATCTAAGAACAGCATTAATTATTCATATATTTAGATGGCTGTTTCATATTCCAACTGTATTAATATTATGCTTCATTTATTTTGTTTGCTAGAATGCCCAAGTGGTCCTGACATCATTCCTATTGTTGCTGGTGTGGTTGCTGGAATTGTTCTTATTGGTCTAGCTTTATTGCTGATTTGGAAGTTACTTATGATCATTCACGATAGAAGAGAATTTGCAAAATTTGAGAAAGAAAAAATGAATGCAAAATGGGATACGGTGAGTTATTTTAATAACCTTAAGCAGGTATACATATCTGAAGATAGTTTGCATACTTCAGAAATTTCAGGCATCAATTTATAAAAATATGTATGTTAATCAGACTTGTTTTCTGTACATCTCCAGATCATTCCAAGCTGAAAAAGACACATTATCATAATTCTTTTAAAAGCTTTCAGTCTTTTAAATATTAACACCAAGCTTTTCCAGTTGTAGACCTCAATATTTTGTTCTTTTAGGATATTACTAGGATTCTATTCATTTGAATATCATTAAATACAACCCTAAATCTTAAAGGATCTTAAAAATTTTATGTTAGTAGAGTACGACCTTTTTTCTTCAGAATGTTGTTTCTTTTCCACACTGATGATTTTTCTACCTTCAGCAAGAAAATCCAATATACAAGAGTCCTATTAATAATTTCAAGAATCCAAACTATGGACGTAAAGCTGGTCTCTAAGTTTCCGTTCGTATTTTCTTTTCTATTTCTTTCTCTTTGCATGAGCTTTTCTTCAGGCTTACTGAATGCAGCTTTAACTAATTATTGCTTGATTCCTAACACTTTTCTTTAATTGCTGCATCTTTGAATTAAGTAACAGAATTTAGAGAGCCAGTTTAGTGTAATAATAAACTTGGTTAGAACCTGGGAAACCAAATTCTAGCTTTAGGCATGTAGTCTTTGGACTTTGAGCATATTATACTTTTTCTCAGCTATAGGAAGAAGGTAACAAAAAAACCATTTCTGAAGAATTTTGGCAAGAAAACTTAAGGGCAGCCAATAAATAAATAGGAAGTGGACAGGCATTTAGGAACCCATTTTGCTCCCTTTAGTAAAGTCTGAAACACTGATGAGTAAAACAAAGACCCCCCACCAAAAAAAAATGGGAAATGCAAACCAGAGCACTTTCTTTTCGTGATAAGGGCTTCTATGCAAAATTATATTAATCACATGTTTGAGCTCTGGCCATTTTCCAGCCTTAGGGCTTGGCAAATATGAGATATAATGCTCTTCAAATCTGTAAAATAAACAAGGCATGATGTAGCTTAATTTAAAGTAGTTGTAGTTGTTAATGGAACAAATTTATTTAGTGCACTGTCACTGAAATCACTCATTTTAGCTGGGTAGTTAGTTTACTTGAGAATAGTGATCGAGAACACTCTCCTCAGATGACTCTTATGACAGTGGCCACTAACTAAACATATGCTTTACAGAAAAAAGCATCAATGGCAGGAAATGTAGTACAGCACAAGGCAGTCTTGGCAATATATAAAATAATTCTTTTTGAATGTTGATTTCTATTCCAGCTGACCTTGAAAATAGCAGGATAAGGTAGAAAATAATTAGATTGAACTTTGCTGATAGTTTATATAGTACAAACTTAATTTGTGACACAACCAGAGTATTATAGTATAGGTAAATATGCTGCATTCTTCACATATATGTCCTCCTTTTCGTACTTTTTCTCATTTCTTTTATTCTATATCCATTCCATCTCTTATTATTTGATATTCAGTTGTTTTTATTTCTGAATACTCTGATGCTATGAATATGATTATATGATTGTGAATGATAATCTTGAAAAAAGACAAAACATTTTCCCCAACCTTTAAAAAAGAATAGTTAGCAAAGGTTCAAAAATAGTATCCTGGACTGAAGCTAATTTTGGATGCAGTACAATGTTAGTTTTTAAAGTCTAATAATATAATGCATTGCAGTATAGGGAATTAGTTGCAAATCAGTTTGCTGTGTAATTTGGAACAAATTCATCCATGCTTAAACAACCTGATTATACAGGGTTTGTGTGTGAGTCGCAAGTCCTCTCTTCTGTTTGCTGTTTGTGAGCTTTATTCCTCAATATTGAAGGATGGATTTGCTGTGTTCACATTGAAACTAATTTTATGGCTGACATTACTCAGATCATTAAAGACTTGAGTAATAAAGAAGCACTTAGCTGTGATTTTTTCTGATAGAGCAATGTCTGTTAATTTTGCACTGTGAAAAATACATCCAAAGTTTCCAATTTAATTAAAGTATGTATATACTGGAGGAAATATGGAATCAATAGAGGCATGTAAAGAAAAACATTCTTTTCTTTTTCCCATTTTTTTTTGAAAATATTTTATTGTTTTTTTAATTTTTAAGAAAAAGTACTCAGGACACACTGTGGTGTTTGCGTAATCAGACATTCCAAAGTAAAAACATAAATAAACAACTCAACTCAATACATTCACTGTCTCCTCTCTATTTCCCTCAAATAACATAATTCGTTTAAAATATTCCATTTCTAAATTAAATTTCTATTACTACTAAACCTGTTTCAAAACTTTATCAGTTTACACTTACCAAAATCAAATTTCACTTTAACTCAACAAGTTATCAATTCAGGTATCCTTCCAGATATATTCTAGTTCTTAATTTCTCTCATCCCTCCTTTTATCACCAATCTCATTTATTTCTTCTTCCATTACACAATGGCTATCTTAATTAAAAAATGTTAATTCACTTCAATTCACCAAAATTGTTTTAATATTTATTTATATGGCCACCCATATCATCATGCATTAAAGTGTTGTGAAATTCTTATGAATAGATTATTTGCAGTGCCTTTCCTTTCGCCCCTTGATTATTTAAAGAATAATTTATGGTAGACATGATGTGTAGTAAAAATTAAAAATGCTAGATAGATAATCTGTAATTTTTCCCTCCCCACCCCCCCCCCCCCAAAAAAAACCCCAAAAGGCTTTCTTGCTTATTGATCCAATGCAGGAACTGTGGAATCCTGTATGCACATGAATATCTAGATTGGCTTGTCAATATGGGAAAATACTTTTTCAATAAGTTGAGTGTTTTTATATTCTATTAATCTTTTTTTTTTCTTTTCTTTCTTGTAGGGTGAAAATCCTATATACAAGAGTGCCGTGACAACTGTAGTGAATCCTAAGTATGAGGGGAAATGAAAACTGCTTTATAATTTCACAACACTGGGTGTGATACAATAGTTTTGTATTCATTACTTAGCTTTTGGCAATATTGCAATGGATTTATTAATTCCTTACTTACATACACAGTTGTTTCCTATGCAATTTTTTTAAATGTACAGTATTTTATTTTTGAAGTTTTTTTCTTTGTTTTTGCAAATAAAAGTGCCAGAAGACTCACAGAATACTTGAGATTGCATATCCTATTCAATATGATGATAGCTTACTCAAGGTGCTTTTTTATCTACCCTGTCTTTTGTATGGAGTGAAACGCTTAATAAACAATTTGCCTATGCATTAAGTATTACAATTAGAACAGTTTTTAGCCTTATAGATGTATCAAGATTTGGCTTGCACAAGTAGTGCAAACCTAATACTTACTAATAAACTATAAAAAATTAGTTTATGAATAATGTGAGACTTAATTTCCAACTTTCTGTATTCAGTAATGTAGAAACCATGATGTAATTTTAATTTCAAATTTCATTTGTAAGATACATATTAAATTGCCACTATGTGTGTATAAGAATAAAAAGTAGATCCAAAATAAGAGCTTAAATATTATTAAAACAGATATGATGATAATAATAATTCCTGTTTTTAAATTCAATTTCTAGTTTTAGTACTGACAAGTACACTGCCAAAACTTCCTTTTAAATCAGCTCCCCTTATCTGGTGCCACCCCGAGGTGCTGGACTTTTAAAAAATTGATCATATTTAAAGTTGAAAGTCCAGCATATACAGGGCAGAGAATAGGAGAAAGTTTTTCTTAGAGCCTTAATTCCTTAGGTTTCTTTTTAAATTTCTTGCTTAGTTTAAAGCCTGGTGCTTTAGCAACTTTATCTTTAATGTATTTGATTTATTTCTGTGTAAGATAATTGTTAAACCAGCTTATTTTTGCAATCTTGGTTGTAATTTATCCTATAGCTAAAATTGCATGATTCTAAATCAGGAGATACTGTGGCTTGTATATTTGCTGCTGGGTATTCTGTAATCTGTTCTGTACTAGCCACATTCATATTTTAAGTGCCTTTTATTTTAACAAACGTTCACTTTTTACAATGTTATCATGGAAGTTATTTATTAAATTTAATAAAATCCTTTAAAAATTGGATTGGTATTTCTTTTTTTGTTGTAAGTGTTGGTAAAACTGAACATTCTTAAAATGTAGTAGAGCAAGGCTTAGGAGAGACTGTTGTGGGTCTTTGGGGGAATCAGCTTCAGCAGAAAAGGACGAAGAACTGAACTGCCACCAAACATGATCTGCCATACTGATCTTTAGAGAAGGAAGAGGGATGGATATGAATAGTGTCACTCTTTTTTGAGCATCAAAATACTTCCTCCCCCAGTATCCCACACCCTTGTGTTGGAATACTTTCAGGTCAGAGCTGGGAGTATCTCCAAGGGATGTACTGAGTTAGATGAACACTGGTACTAGAGTACAGTATTTTAATTATTTCTTTCCTGTTTTCTTAGGGGAAAGAATAGTTCTAAAGCAATGGTGGCGAACCTATGGCACGGGTGCTAGAGGTGGCACTCAGAGCCCTATCTGTCCTGGGCCTTCAGCTGGGTTTTATAAAACGTTTTCGCTTTAGGCCTCTGCCGCGTACAAAACAAAAGAATCAATCAGTCAATTTCAACTTCTCACGGGGAAAAAAAGATCTTGCAAAGTTGGAATTGATTAAACTTTTTAGTCCCACCCAGTCTACTGTTACCACTGTAGCCATGCCCACCTAATGGGCCACACCCACCCGGCACCCGACGATGCACCTGGGTTTTGGGTTGCAGTTTGGGCACTCGGTCTCTAAAAGGTTCGCCATCACTGTTCTAAAGGAAATTCAGAATCCCAGGTTTCATCCATCAGGCAGATTTTGTGAATATATATTTAATATCAGGGAAGAGAAGAGGTTTGGAAGCAATGGCAGATTTCAATTTTTCTGAATAGTTTAACTGGAACTTAAGGATAGTAAGACATGTTTTGGTTTCTGTCGGACTAAAAAGATATCTGGAATTTAGCATTTATAATTTGTGTTTCCTAGCCTACCCATATATCCTACATAACTATTATATATTTTAACTTCGTTATCTGATACCTAAGCTTGCAGTCTTATTCTTTGTTTTATTTAGTGTTCAACTATCAGAAGTTTTACATAGTCGTCTCTTATTATTTAGATTACAATTTTACTAGATAACTTCAACAATAACCACCTTTTCATGTAAACACTGAAGTCTACCCAATTTTCTTCTATAGCAACAACTACTGCTAAAGGAACAACTACTCCTTTGTTATATATAGACCAGCATAATGCAGACAGTATGCTAATTATAGATTCTTTTCAATCAACTGTCCACTTTACATTAGAATGAGCAGATTTTGTATTTGGGAGGATGACAACTGTACCTAGATCCAAAGAATTGTCCATGTATTTGCTTTGTACCCAGTTCTTGAAAGTTAGAAGGAACTTAATATCCTTCTTTATCAGCGTGATTTCCTAGTTGGAACAGTATAAAAAAATCCATCTAATTATTCTGAACTTTCTATTATGATCTCTTCATCTAGCAAGGAGGACCTTCATTTTCCTTATAAGTCAACATTTGCTTAAGTGTGGTGGAGAGCAAACAGAGCATGACATTCTATAAAAAATGAACTATATTATGACTTAATATGAAGATCACTTAATTCTATTAGCTGGTTCCCTGTGAATTTTAAGTTTCTGGTTGGTTAGGTCCAAAGATTTATTTTTTTAAATATCTGAATTCTCCAGCACTGGAGATGGAGAATCCACCAATGGGTTTAGACTGTGTTCCTGCCCAATCAGATCAAGTCAGCCGAAGTTGCAGTGCCTGTCCTGGGCTAGAGTGTCCCAGTCTCGACTTGATCTTGCCCTAGACAGCATAGCAAGTTGGCTCTTAGGCAGGTACAGTTTCCATTGGTGGATTCTTTATTCTCTATTCTCTTCAGTCTTCTGTGACAGTGCTGTATTCAGCACTGCGTTTTTTCCTCTCAGTTGGCTGAAGAACTGTTTGCCTTTAACTAGGAACGGAGGCGTTCATTCCTCCCCCCCCCCCACTTCCAACCATAAAGGCTTGAGACTGAGGGGACTTGCTTCCCCTCTGTAATACAGCCCTTCTTCTCTTGGACAGCACTGGGCTCAGTGCTGCTCCTCAGCCCTCCACAGTTCCCCATTGCCTGGAAAAGCCTCTGGACACGCGGAAAGGCTAAAAATGGCCGTTTGCAGGTGGCGCATGTTTGGAAGGCCGATTACCTCTTTTACAGCCTTTCTTTGTGATCGGAGCTTGCGGCTGCAGCTCTGGGGGGGGCAGAATGAGAGCGTAGGCCCCAGACGGCTGTTTGGAGCCAGAGCGCATTCCAAAGCTCCGTTTTTTCATCTTGGAGGGCTGTTTGGTTTAGGGTGGAAGGGGGTGCCGGCAACAATACCCCAAGACCTCGTGCAGCCGCCATTTTGAGTGGCAGCCTTGTTGAGTGCCCGCCATTTTGAGCTGCCATTCGGAATGTGGTAGTCCCTTATTGGGACTGGGTCTTTCTTGAGGCTGCCATCTTGGGGCCTGCTCTGCGCCCTTTTCTCCCCTGCGGCCACCATTTGAGGCCCCTGGAGCCTCAGTTTGCACAGGGACCCTGCATGGCCACTGTTGCCTCAGAACAGGCCTGCTAGACTCCTCAGGCCTACTTCCTTCATTTGCTCTAAATACAACCTTACCTAACACATTTCCAAGGCCTGTCAGACCTCAGTCAGTATTTGATCTCCACAGCCATTCAGGTCTGTAATATATCCATTTCACAGCCTGCTTAGCAGGTTTGGCTCTATCTGGTTTGTCCCTTTTCTTTCACGTGCATTTAATCTCCTTGGATTCAATTTCTGGGTTCTTGGTGTCTCCAGGTCTCCTTGAAAACCAGGATTAGTCCATTGGGATTCTGGGCCTAATTATATTAACAGCTTTATCTGTCTGGATACCAGGCGTCCCCTACACAATCAGCTCTATCTGGATTCCAGGTGTTCCCTATAGTGTGCCTGTTCTTATCCAACCAATAGCAGTCTCTGGATACCAGGGGTCCCCTATTGTACTCCTGTGTTACTCAAGAATGGAGGATACTAGGTCCCCCACAAAGGACGTCTTGTCATCCTCCTCGACTGCAAAACGCTACAAATCCTCTAAGC